GGTCCTGGGTGTGGGGGCTCCCCTGCCCCAGCCTCCTGTTGAGCCGGGGCCCAGCGTGCTGGCTCAGACAGTGCAGCACTGTGCTCACTCACGGGCGGGAGGGTATTGTCTTTTCCTCCGAAAGAAAAATAATCAGGTTCAGAATCAGCCAGCGCTCATTAAAGCCGCTGCAGACATGACGGCCCCAGCAATTAGCACAGGAGGTTTAGGGAGAGCTGGACCCCAGCCAGTCCCTCTCCGGCACCCTGACTCTCCCCCAGCCGCCCCTCAGCCTGGCTCTCCCTATACGCCAGGCCCCAGCCCGGGAGGAAGCTGCCCCTGGATGACACTGGTGATGTAAGACGGTTCAAACCCTAGGTCCCAGCTCAGCCTGGTGCAGCCCCAGGCCTGCTCCCTAGTGGCAGGCAAGGATGGCTGGGTGACTGGGCCCAGCCCAGCCAGCAGCCCCAGGCCCTGCCCCATGCTGTGCCAGTTTCTGTCTTAAGCTCACTGCAGCCAGACAGGCCGTCTCTGGAACTAGCCTTCCCCTCAGGATGGCAGCACAGCCGATGGAAAGAGCCATGGGTCCCTGACTCACTTTCTCTGAGGCCCGATCCTGCCTTGAAACCGGGCTGTGAAAAGCAGTTGCAGCCAGGGGGCCTCAGGAGCGTTTGCAGGGGATGGAGCCAGGGGTGCTGCTAGCTGCCACCAAGTTGATTTTTGCTTCACAGTGGCCCCAGGTGACAGAGCAGAACCACACGTGTGTACACACACACACACCACGTTTCCTCATCCTCACAGCAGCAGATTGCCAAGTCTTCTCGCCTCCCAAGCTGCTGCGTTAGTTCAAATTGCCGGCTTTGCAGCTGGCAGCAGACCATCACCGAACCGAAGAGCCAACCTCCTTGCTCTCGAGTTGATGCCAACAGGACAGGGTAGAACTGCCCCCGTGAGTTTTCTGAGACGGTAACGCTTTACAGGAGTAGGAAGCCTCATGTTTCCCCCTTAATGGGAAGAGAGAGGACTTCATGAATGTTAGAACCCAGCCCCAGCACCCCCACTTATGAGCAGAGGCCTCGGGCAGAGCACTGACCTGGGGCCTGGAGACTTCCCATCAACTCCTCCTTTCTCCTCTAAGCCTATTCGGCTTTGAGTACCACACCTGCCTCCTTGGTGCCTCAGTCTACTGATTGGGGAACTAGAATAACTCCCACCCAGCCCGACTCACAGGAAGGAGGGCACGAGTGGAAGGAAATGCTGTGGCCAAGACTCTAGCAGTGGGGAAGACCCTCAACATACAGCTTCCTTCTCCCCACCATCCCAGCCTCTTTGGTCAGGACCAGGCTTTGATCAACAGAGCAC